CTTGGTCCACTGGGTTACCAAACGAGTCTACATTGCTTTTCTACTTATCTATTTTTTAAAAAACAAATATGCATATTTTTAGCTACAAAAATAATATATACTAAAAGGTAAAACAAAATTGACCCACATAGCCAAAAAAAACTGAAAAATGTAACAAAAACTGATGAGAGAGAAAAAGAGGAAAGTAACTATCAAATAATAGCCACGCACACCCATGGACACAAATGAAATCAAAGATGATGACAAGGAAGAAGTTGAAGCAAAAAGGCCAAACAACAAACATGAATAGAAGATGCTTATGCGAACTTGAAGATCATGGAAAAGGAAGACGTGAACTGGTAGACAATGATAATGGAAGATGTAAACTGAAGACGGTGTTCGACGGCAAGCAAAAGTAGAAATTGATGGCAGCCGAATTCGACGGTGTTTAACAGCAACAGTAAAGGGGTTCATTCACTAGTGTTATGGAGTCCATTCAAGGAGATGGAAAGAATGTTTTGCAAGAGAGAGGGATGAGTAGCGGCTTTGTAGAAGGAAAGAAAGGGACAAGTGACAAACGGACTAGGGCAAACAATAAATTACTTACCTACAAATTTTTTTAAAAAAGAATTCCTACCTAGACAAGGTTAGACCACATGGTGTGAACTATCAACCTTTAACCCAATCTTACCCAATGGTTTAGTCTGACCAATTAGTCCTGTCCTCTTGTTGAGTTGCTTTTTTCAAGACTGAATTGTGTCTAGTTGGACGAAGTAAACTGGGTTCCATGTCATATCATGTTAATTATAACGTGAAAAATGAGAAAATTAGGATTAACCAAGGGCCAGACAGTATAGTAAAAACATAAACTAAACAGCTTTTGAAGTAAAACCCGAGTAGGGATTGGATTGTCATTTTGAAAAGTTTCGGCCCAAAAGGGGCAAAAAAGGAAATTATGCATGAAATTCCTAAGAATCCCCAAAATTTCATGAAAAATAGAACAAAAGGTCTAGAATAGTTTTTGAGGCCTAAAAGATGAAAACGACATGAAAATAATTCATTTAAAAATTTTCTGTCATTTCAGGAAATTTTGGCTAATTACGGATAAATTGGCCAAAATGACTTATTTAAAATATGTAGATGCCTCAATAATTCATGGAAAATGAGAAAAATTAGATGAGAGGTTATTACAGATTAAAATTATTCCCTTCCTTTGGAGATGCAAAGGTTAGCTTTAAAATATTTAAAGCTAAATTTTGTCGATAAAAAGCTAAGTTCGGGAAAAATTGAATAGAATGAGTTATAGGTTGAATTTTGCTTGAAAAAAAATAGGAGAAGCTCTTCTCAATAAAAGGAAATCCAATCAATATTGTGAGATAAATCATAACTAATTATAGAAAAATTGTATCGAGGTGGTTCAAAATTCTATTTGAATGTCTTTTAATTCTCTATAGGCAATAAATACTTTATGGTTCATTTCCTTGCTCAATTCATATAGTTAATTGTGTGAATTTTACTATTCATTTGAGCAAGGAAATGAACTATGGTCATATACTAGTCATCATGAACTGACCACATTACACAGCACACATAGGTCATTTAAACACTTCTGCTATGTGGCATTCCAATCAGGCAGCTAACATCAATCACTTGAGGCTTTGGTTGTTATTCTGCTTTCCTATTAGGGTATAGACTCAGACCCCTACTTGCCTTACTGTACTTTTACCCATTACTCTTTGGGGGAGTCTTTTTATTTTGAATCATACCCCAGTCAAACTTTCTCAGCTCAATCATTCATCTCCTGAGGGGGATCGTCTCCCAAAGGGAAGTCTCTTAGCAATGGCTGCTTATCTTTAAGGTTACTCTCTATCATTCCTCACTTCTCCTCTATGCCCATTTCTCTAAGAGAAATTACCTCATAATCTTAACCTTAGTCGGAGCATTCCTAGTAACCTATTACTTAGGTAGGGATTTCTCTCCCACTAGGCTTTGCTTGAACCAGTTCTCTATTTATACTTTTACCATAACCCTTTCTAAAATACTCACTCTGTTTAAGCATTTGCCAAAACCTTTGCTATGATATCAAAATGAAACATCCCTCCCTTAACCCATTTACTATGCGTTTAAAAGCGTTACGGTTCAAGTGGTTCACAAAACAAGCCCATAAACTGAAAATTTGCATTTAATTACTTGGGTTCTTATTCACTGGTAGATTCCTGATTTTTGGTCTAATTTTAAAAAATCATAACTAATTATAGAAAAATCTTATCGAGGTGATTCAAAATTTTATTTAAAGCTCTTTTGATTCTCTATAGGGGAAAAAAGTACTTATGTTCATTTTCTTACTCCATTCATACATTTAATTGTGTGAATTTTACTACTGATTCGGTAAAAACTATACTCTTTAGTTTCTCTATCCTAACTTGAGCAGTCATAACACTTAGCACACATATCTATTTTAAGTGATTTACCACTTGTTTCAAAGCTCAAGATATATACTTTAAGCATGCCCATATGCATGTAATACTAATGCTTGATAGATGACATACTTGGTTACATGCTTGTATGCTTATAAAATGACATGCTCTGATACTCAATATTTTATTCACACATGGCCATGCAATATACAATAAACAAAGTAACATTCAATTTTTCATAATTTAAATCATCATCAAGCAATATCAATACAAAAGCATACATATCAAGCACACGATAAGAATAAGTTCACTACCTTGTGTCTTCGAGCCTTTCTCTAGCTCTCTTTGCTTCCTTTGCTTCCAACCATTAAGGTTGCTTAATCAACCTTTACATTCATCTTTCTTGGTATCTCATGGCCCTAAATTCACACTACACATTAATGACCAATCCATCAAGACCATAAAAATCACTAACAACCCTTACTTTCAAACTTGATTTCTTTTTAACCTTAACTTTTCACTTCCTTATTCTAAATTTCTAAAATCATTCTCTTAGCCATTTTCTACTCAATTTTTTATAAGGAATCCAAATATGAGTTTGGATTTAAAAAATACAAATCTTTCCTCATGAATTCCTTGAGCCCAAGTGGTTGCCCTTTTAAGATTCAAAATTTCATTTTCAATTCTATTGCTTCCAAACTTATTTCCTCACTTGTACCCTACAGAATTTTTCATTCTAGAATCATTAGAAGTATCAAAATCATCAAAATCCAACCCTATCCTCAAGAACTAGCCCTGACCGGCACACAACCATGACATCTTCCACAAAATATCTCAAAATCACTTGATTATCATTCCTTTCAAGCCTTCAAATATTATTCTAACATTAATTTCATATTCCCTTAACCCTATCAATTTCATGCAACATGTCCCTTTAGGGTTTCAAGCTCCCAAAATCCAACAAAACCTATAACCAAACTCAGCAATAACAAAGAGAATTGAAACTACATCAAAAACCATGAACACGCCTTGTTTTGGAGCTTGATCTTACATAGTTTTCCTTGCTCTTTCCCTTCTCCTTCTTCCTCTTCAATTTAAGTCTCTTCCCACCTTTTCTCTTAGTTTGGCTGAAATCTTGTAAAGAAAGGGAGGTAGTGGTATGTATAAAAATTTTCTTAAATCGTTACCCTTAATCTTTTGTGTGTGGCTCGATCTTGGCCATTCATTTAATCTCTTTAGTCATGTATCCCTTAGCTTCTTGATTCTTGCCACCTAACCCTCTTAGATATTCCCTTCATTCAATAGAAGTGCCATCTTATGGGACATATCACATGCCACCTATCACACATATGATGAAAGCATGATATTTTATTATATAATTTCATTCTTCCAAACTTAACCCTTAATAATTGTATTATTCCATCCATGTCCCTTCAACAAATTTGTATTTAAATAGGGAGGAATTCATGCATAACCATACCCTTAGCTATTCCTCCCCCTATTTTATGATTTTATGTTGTATCGGGTATTTTTTCGAGTCTTGACATACCCGATAATAGGGCTACACAAAGACTGGACAAGACCGAGTTTGGACTAGTCTGAAGTCTAGTCTGAAAAATGATCGGGTTGGACTTTTTGGTCCATAGTCCAGTCCAGTCTGGTAAGACTTGGGACCAAGACCAGGTTGGACTTGGTCTACCGAGTTACTGGACTAGTCCAGGTTGATTCTAATTTTTCTAAGAAAAAAATTGAATATATATTTACTCTGCTCTTTTTAAAAAAAAACTATTGTGACATATTTACTTTGCCCATTTTGTTGTAAATATTCTAATATTGAGCTTTTTCATTAAAGCTTTCCACTAGATAAATATTAACTTATGAAGTATAATATGACAATCCAGACAATAAAGTGTTCTGCACTCTACATATAAGAAAATAATATTAAACATGATCATATTTAGGATCCTAGAAGAGACAACATGAAGAGAAAATTAAGGGGAAAAATAAGGAACAAAAGATTTGAATAACCAAACTTGTCTTTAAATTATCATTAGTCAATATTCATTGAGCCTACATATCAAAATATGTCCTGAACTTGTAGGAGTTAAAAGGTCCATTGCCTGTACAAAAATCCAGGTGAGTCAAGCTATACACCAATCCTAATTAGCTGGACAAGCCATTCATATAAAGTCACCACTAGGCACTAATTATCATCAGCCAACTATATGATAATTTTAACTAAGCAACCAAAAGATCAACCTGCACAATTAAACCAGTCAAAAAAATCCAGCCATGTAGTCAAAAAACAAACTACTACAATTAAACAACCAAAAGACTTTATAGTCTAAGTCCAAAATATCTGAAACTAAAATGCTAAAAGTCATACATCCTCTCCAACATCAGTAACACTGGAAGGATCTGAAAAGTATATAAAACATAAGTAGTCAATGACATTACAATAGTCATGGTAAAAATATGACATTACAATACAACACACACTAAGAAATGATTACAAAAAATTGAAATTTATTTGAACATTTATATAAAATATAAACAATCAATGGCATCACAGCATATACCAGTCTTCACCACACCCTCTATCTCCTAAAAGTTATCAAACTCTTGAAGCATGGATGCAAATTCAGAAAGAGATTTCCCTAGGAGTAGCCAATTTTGGGCACAGATAAGTGCTTTAGTCATTGTTGGTGATAGTGAACTCCTATAAGAGTCCACTACACATCCTCCAATGCTAAAGGCTGATTCAGAGGCCACTGTAGACATTGGCACAGCCAAGACATCATGTGCCATCCTAGAAATTATTTTATATTTACTAGAATTGGCTCTCCACCATGCTAACATATCAAAATCATCATCAACAGGGGTATCATCAGCTGAAGAAGATGAAAGATATCTATCTAATTCAGATTGTGGGTCTGAGGAGCTTTTTTCTTTTTGGGATGCTAACCGTCTATGACCTAGATCTCTACTACCTTGGCCTTTTGGCATAGCTGATGTTGATGATCCTAGGGGTACAGAAGAAACATTGCTTGAAGTACTACTACTTGCTTGCCCCATAGAATACTCATCAAACATGTGATACAAAACATCTCTAATATTAATTTTCATGGCCATGCAAACTTCTACATTATGAAAAAGCCTATCAAAAATATGATATGAAGGGAATTGAAAGACGCGCAACGGAAAATAAATTTAAAATTTTCAATCCCTTGCCCGAATCTACCGATTGTGTTTAAGTCAAGTAGTAAGAAGTATTACCTTCGATGTTCAATTTCTTGGTGGCTCGGGGATTCCGCCGTTCAGGATGCCTCTGCTCGCCTCTTTTATCGCTCGAAGTCAACAACTCGGATCGGCTTCCTCTACCGGTATCCACACGAACAGCATTCTAATCACGAACGACGTGCTAGCGCCTCTTGTCCTTCTAGGGTTTATGTTTAAAGAATCCGTCCTCCCTTCTCTATTTTTGGCCGTCTCTTATCTGCAAGTTTTTCCACTCTCACACCCAAAACCCTAGCTCCTAATATCAAATATATAGGATGCTATAGGTATTATGAATGATATTTGATTTCAAAATTAATCCTAAATTAATTTCGAAATTAATACAATATCAAATATTGCCTAATCAGATAAGAAAACAATTAAATAAATATGGTTTGTATTAAATCCGTCCCACAGATTTAATTCACCTATTTATTTAATTCAAAATAAAGATATGACGAAATTATATTTGATTTATTCTCATAAATCAAATTTGAGATATTATATTATATCTTACCAATTTAAAATTGATATAGATCTAATTTATCCTTATAAATTAAATCTAATAATTAATATCTCTTATATTTATATAATATGTATATATATATGAATTTATATATATATACGTCCACCCTATATTATTCATTGAATTTGGACATATCTTAGATTTAACGAATCTGGACATCATAGCTCGTGTTGGGCTATTTTGTGTGCGACCCTATAGGCCCATATGAAGTTGGTAGTGGGCCATTAACTATAATGACTCACAAGTCGTAAGTGATCTCTAGTAAGACATCACGACTACCCAAATCATATGAGGATCGTTGAACGATGTAACCTTTCATAAAACCATATCACATCCCTTTTGTCACGCGACATTTTGGTCATGGATGAGGCATGGAGAACGTCATCCTCATATTCATAACCATTACTTTCTCGATCCCTGAGTAGTCTGAGTACAGAAATGAAACTACCTTTCCATTATAGTATGGCCATACATTTCTCAGACTCACTCATCGAGGGGCCCAGTAATATCTCTCTACGAATGTGAGGGACAAATTCCATGTTGACCATTCACATTCCTCCGCATGAAAAACCACTAAGCCTGAACATAGTCTTTATGATCACTCGGTCAAAAGTGACTTTTGACTAGGTCAAAGCTAAGCATTTCTCATGTAGGAATCCATGATGATCTCAGGTCAAAGGGCACAGTGACATGGTTTGTATATGAGAGAAGCTTATGACTTAACCCATGCAGCTCTCTCATAGCGGGTCAGTCCAACACCTTGTACTCTTACATGTGCCTATGACTTTGATTTATATCTTTATATATCTTCAAAGTCATACTGGTCTTATTTCATCTCTTCTCCCACATAGATGACCGACCAAGGACATTTAGGATAAATCATGAGTTATCCAAGGATAGTCATCACAGTAAACATGCAAATAATATGATAACATAATTAAGAAATTCATAAATCAACAATGTTCATAACACAATGATTGGCCCCTAGGGCACAATTTCCAACATGATATACATAAGCAAGCTTGTAGCGAGAATCCAAAATCACAACTACAATGAGTAAAGGATTCATGTTCTCTATTTGACCCCAATATTTTTCATATTTACTTCTCATGCTAAGGGACATCTCCATAAGCAAAGGATTGGCATTCACAATGTTCTCTTCCAATAACTCATGAATTAGAGCAATTCGGTGGAACCAAGTGTTAGAAGTGACATTTAGTGAACTTGAAAACATCAAAGTTATGTCATAGAACACCTTCAAGAATTGAAGAAACATTCTTGCCTTATTCCAATCACTAGCTTTAAGAGGGCCTTCATTCTTGGAACCTCTAGCAAAGGATGCCTCATAATCATCATCTTCATCTTCCAAACATTCAAAAGCCTTTTGAAATTTCAAAGCAAATTCCAACATCAAATATGTTAAATTCCACAGAGTATTGATATCAAGACAAACAAGGCTGGTGGTGTCCACTTTCTCTAATTTAGCAATATTCTTGAACTTTTAGAGATGAGCTGGAGAAGAACGAACATATTTAACTGCATTGCAAATTGAATCAAAGCTATTCTTTAACTCCTTTAACCCATTATTAACTGCCAAGTTAAGTATATGTACATAACATCTAAGATGAAGGTAATCACCTCAACAAATCATGCCTTTCCAATTCTTGAGCCACTTTTTCAGATATGACAAGGCAGTATCATTAGAAGATGCATTGCCATGGTTATGGTAAACAGGCACTTCTTTAATAGGCACTTCTCAATGGCTTTCCCTATTGTATCGTCCCTATGATTTTCAATCATGCAAAAATTCAATATCCTCTTATGCAACTTCTAATCAGGATCAATAAAATGACAAGTCAAACACAAATAACTAAAGTTTTGAGTGGATGTCCAGCAATAAGTTGTTAAACAAATACGATGTGCAGACTTTTTCAACACCTCTTTCAATATCTTGATTTCTCCAAGGTATAGTTGCCAACAATCTCTAGCAACTATTGCCCGTGATGGAATTCGAAATCTTGGTTCTAGCTCTTTGACAAAAGTTCTAAACCCATACTTCTCAACTATCCTAAATGGCATCTCATCACAAATAACAAATTCAACCAATGCCCTTTTGCATCGTTTTTAATTAAAAACACAAGAGACTAAGCTTCCTTTTTGCCTAGTTGGTGTCACATAGTTCAACATTGATTGCTTTGTATTGTGTCGACCCTGTTTGGGTTCTTGTGACATTTTGGAAAATGCCTTTTCAAGGATGTTGTGTCATACTTGTTTGGGTCACAAGCATTAATTGCATGACAATATCTGCAGCAGCCTTAACTTCTCCATTTGTTTCTTCTAAAGGCAACTTGACAAAATGCTCCCAAACTTGTGATTTTGTGCTTTTCTTCTCAAGCTCTTTTCTCTTTCTACTCACATTGTCTCCACTTTTATCTTGTGTACTATTAGAAACAAGATCAATAGCAGTAGGAGGAGGAGGAGGGAATGGTTCATCAGGAGGGGGCATTTCAGTTTCACCAGTCCCGGTTAATTGGGTTCATCCAAGTTGGACCGGGTTGATCGGGTCCCAGGTTTTTTTTGCACAGCCCTACCCGATAAAACTAGGACATGTTTTGGCACCCTTTTTCCATCACAATCAATCTTACATGACATTATATAACATGCCTAAAGGGAGAGTCATGCTCTTCCCTTGTTCTTCCAATGAAACATTTAATAATATTTATTTTGAAGAAAACTTGACCAAATTCTCTCTATCAGTCTATAACTCTGAGAATCTGTCTCTGGGTACCAATACTACTTTTTCATCATATGAAATTTCTCTAATTTTTCTTAGTTCAAAAGCCAACTCATAAACGGTTTATTTTGACTTTCTTGGATAGTGTATAAATAGGCTTTAAATTTTATTAAAGCCAACCTCTTAGCTTTCTGGGAAGAAATTATGTTTAAAACTTGCGATAATTCCTCAAGTATTATTCCCTATTTTTAATTCAATTATATAAGGCATTCTCATATTTTAAATAATTTAATTTTAGCTATTATTGATAATTAGCCAAAACCCTAGGAATTTCATTAATTTGCTCTAGGAGTATGTTTGTCATTTTTAACCCTATTCGGGGCTCAAAATCTTATTTTCCATTTTTCTGAGATTTTTTTAGAATTTTCAGGCATGGTTTCCATCACTCTCCTTTCTGGCCAAAAACTTTCTAAATTTACAATTAGGTCCCTGCTCGGATTTAGTCTCCGGAATCATCTCACTGAGGTTCTAAGCACAACCTCTAACCCCTAATCATCTCCTATTCCCATATTCGAGTTCTTAAGACTTCATTGGAGTCTCTAACTTGTCTATCTCGCGGTTTCAAAAAACTCTTACTTTGTGATTTAGTCCCTCAGAATCTTCTTATTCTTTTAAGGTACTTTTGAAACTCCTACCAAAAGGGGTCTGATAGCCTGTCCATTTCAAGCTAATTCTGGTACTTTTAGGCTTAAAATTTAGGATGTTACAAGGGTTAGGGTTTATGTCAAGCCGTGTCATTAATGCTGTTTAAGTTTAAACTTATAATGCCTCTATTATATTTGATAGGCATTGTTCATTGGCACGAAGAGTTAAGCTTGAAAAGAGGTAGAAAAAACTTAAAACTTTGATATTAATTTGCATTGTTTATTTGTTGTTATATGTTTTTATGCTATGAGGTGGATGAGCTAGTTATGATGTGATGTGTTAAACTCATTGCATTTAATGCTTTGACAATATGCATAATTGAGTTATTGAATGGTATGATTATGAGCTTACTTTCCCTGACATGATAATGCCAGTGAATGCATGAGAATGATGATTGATATATAGTATGCATAATAATACGTTGTTACCATTTTTATTATGGTTCATCGCTACTGAGATTTCTATGAAATCTCTCCCCTTCCTATATTTAAATTGTCACAATGTGGGGGGTGGCACTTCAAGAGACAAATGATAGGATGTGGACGCTTGAGAAAAAATTGCACAAGATGTAATGCAATTGTTTACTTATGAACCTATGTTTTAAGCTTTATGTATTGTAACTTAATATGGATGATTGTATGAGTTAATAAATTTATTTTTACATAAATATAGATATACTATAAGTATGCATGGATATACATGATGAATGGCTTATAAGGCATGACCTTAGTATGGAACACTTAAAGGATGGCATTAAAAACCAGTAAGAAAATGACTTAAAATGTCATAATTTAGTGAGCATGGCTTTTTGAGCAAATGACTGAATCTGATCATGAGATTTGGCAGGCTAAGAGTGCCCTCAAATAAAATAGTAGATCACCTAATTTGGAGCTATATATTAAAAGTTATGAATTTTTGAAGTTATAGCAAAAACCTGAAAAAATAGAAGATTTACCAAATGAACAATACTTTTTATATGAAATGTAGAGTTTAAAGGACAAAATAATAAGACTAGTGAGTATTTCTTCTGTGCAGAAAATTAAAAGAGCTTTAAATAGAACTTGAAATTATTTCGTTTTGATTTTTCTAGAATTAGTTATGAATTATCAAAATTGGCCAAAATTTTGGGGTTACCTTGTAAATGCCAACCCAAGAAGAAATATTTGAAAACTTGATTTTCAAATCTTGAGGTCATGAAATGTAGCTCCTTGTTACTTCCATTTAATATCTTATACGATTAAAAGGAGAGATGTTACAACATCTAATATAAAAAGTATGACTTTCTAGACCTAATCGTAGGAATCGATCTAAAAAGCACTTTATTACCAAACAAACGGTTTAAAAGTGTTTGACTTTTTAGGCTCTCTTATTTGAACATATTCTAGAACCGATCTAAAAAGCCAATTTTAATTAGTTCAAATGCCAATTCTTTTACAAGTGAAATGTTATATAAATTTTGGAAATTAAATAAATTGGTCTCCTTAAGTTTGGTGAATTGAAAAGAAACTTGTTGAGTTAGAAAATAAATAAGCTTATGAACTAGTAAGGATTAGGAGGAATAGGGTTGCAATCTCACATTTTCTTTTTGCATATGATTTATCATTTTTCTCTGAAGCTAGTGTAGATCGTATTTCCAATGTTAATGATGTATTTCATATGATGTCAGGGTAGAAGGTTAGTAAGCAGAAAATGAGTATTTGCTTTTCTAACAATGTTGGGAGAAGTTTGCAAAAGGAGATATGTGATGCTTGTGGGTTCAATAGAAAAGACGAGATTGGAGCACAAATAGTATGTAACATCCCAAATTTTGAGGCCAAAAGTATAGGAAATAGCTTAAAATAGGTAGGCTATTAGACTTTTTGTGGCAGGAGTCCTGGAAGTTCCCTAAAAGGATAGAAGGATTCTCAGAAACCAAATTACAAAGTGAAGGTTTTGTGAGACTAAGAAATGAGGAAGATAGAAACTCTGATGAAGCCTCAAGGATTCAAGTAAGAGAATTAGAGATGATTAAGGGCCAAAAGTTTTGCTGGGAACCTTAGTGGGATGATTCCTTAGGCTAAAACCGAGTAAGGACCTACTTGTAAATTTGGAAAGTTTCGAGCTGAAAAGGGTAGTAATGAAAAGGATGCGCGAAAATTCTAAAAAAAATCCTAAAAAATCAGAAAATAGGAAATGAGGTTTTGAGACCCATATAGGGTTAAGAATGATGAAAATACCCCTGAAGCAGATTGATGAAATTCCCAGGGTTTTGGCTAATTATGAATATTAGTTAAAATTGAATTATTAAATTATAAGAAGGCCTCAATAATTGGATGAAAATAATACTTGAGGAATTATTAACCTCAGATAATTGGAGAAAAATAAAAAATAATACTTGAGAAATTATCACAGGTTTTAAAAAAGATTCTGTCCTCAGAAAGTAAAGAGGTTGGCTTTAATATAATTTAAAGCCTATTTATACACTATCCGAGAAAAATCAAAATAAACTATTTATGGGTTGACTTTTGACTTAAGAAGAGTTAGAGAAATTTTTTATGATGAAAAGATGGTATTGGTACCCAAAGACAAATTCTCGTAGCTATGGATCGATAGAGAGAATTCAATCAAGTTTACTTTGAAATAAATATTATTAAACGTTTTGATGAAAGTTAAAGGGAAAGGCATTTTTCCCTCCATGGAAAGTATATATAATGCCATGTGAACCCATTTGAGATGTGAAAAGGGTTTCAGAATATGTCTCAGGGATACCGGGTGCGTAAAGACCCAAAAAAATACCTGATATGACATAAAATTGTAAAATCAATGAAGGAATAGTTAAGGTATGAGGGAGCACAAATTTCTCCCTATTTTCCTCCCTATTTTAATGTAAATTTGGGGAGGAGACATAGATGAAATAATACAGTTTAACGGTAAAGTTTGGAAGAATGGAATTATGTAATAAAATATTATGCTTTCTTCATATATGTGATAGGTGGCATGTGATATATCCCATGAGGTGGCACTTCTATTGAATGAAGGGGACATCTAAGAGGGTTAGGTAGCAAGAATCAAGAAGGTAAGGGACACATGGCCAAAGACATTAAATAAATGGCTAAGATCAAGCCACACAAATATAAGATCAAGGGCTATGATTTAAGTAAATTTTTATAAATACCCCTTCCCCCATTTGATGAGAGTTTTGGAAAAAACTAAAAGGAAGAGGAGATGCACAAATTAAAGAGAAAAAGAAGAAGAGAAAGAGTAAGGGAAACCATACAAGATCAAACTCCAAGACAAGGTATGTTTATGGTTCTTGATGTAGTTTGTCTTGCCATTTGTCTTGTTGAGCTTAGCCATGGTTTTGATGGATTTTAGAAGCTTGAAACCCTAGATTGAGGTGCTGTTCAATTGCATTTAAATCATGAAAAAGATTGATTGATGATAGAATCATATTTAAAGGTTTAAAAGGAATGAGAATCAAGTGATTTTAAGATGATTTGTGAAAGATTTCATGGTTGTTTACTTAAGGATATATTTCAGCCAGATTTGGTTATTGGGGCTAGGATTGGATTTTGATCATTTTGATGTTTCCAATATGTTTAGAATGAAAAATTGTTTAGGGTGGAAGTGAAAAAACAAGTTTAGAAGCATTAGAATTAAAAATAGAATTTTGGACCCTAAGACCCTATGTTTTAGCCAGATTAGTTTGAGTAGGAAGGTATTAGATTTTGTTTAATTTGAGCTTGAAAAAGGATTTTACATGCAAAATTAGATGGGAATAGCATGTGGAACTAATTTTAGAAAGATTGAAAATCAAGCTCAAAAGTTAGAAGTTAAGATGGTTTAAAGAGTACAAAGTGTTGATGTTATTTGTTACCATGGATCTAAGGAATAAATGGTAATTATGTGTTGATGTATTTAGAGTCATCAGACATCATCAGACATCAAGGAGGATGAATGGGAAAGTTGATCAAGCAACCATGATGGTTGGGAGCAAAGGGAGAAAGAGAAGGCTTAAAGACAAAAGACAGTGAACTTACTTTTTTCTTGTGTGTTGATGTGCATTATGTTATTTGATGATGATCTGG